TGAATTTGGGGATTGCACAGATACAGTTGCTAACATTTGAAATGTGTTTGCTGTCTGAGTTCCTGTTTCCCAATTAGAAATAAAGTTTACCAAGCAAAGATCTGGAGGAAGGAGAAGGGCCTCACCTTTATTGAACACCCACTGAAATCCAGTCTAGATGCTCAGCGTAGGTAATTGCATTCAGCCTCACAATAACTCTGTGAATAAGGTCCCAGCTTACAGATTGGAGACTGAGGTTCAGAAAGATGAAGTAGCTTGCTTCATTCCAGTGGATTCCACAGCCGGTAAGTGGCAGGGCCAAGGTCAGATCGAAGGCCCTCTGTCTTCATTACACTACCTTCAATGTCAGAGTTAAAGGGAAAAGAGAAAGGAAGGAAGGAAAGGATAAGAATGGATGAGAAAGGAGGAAAGGAAGAAGATGAATTTATTTGAATAAGTAATGAGATCAGATGGTGCCCCCTACCAGCGGGGCTTCCTACCATCGTGGTACACGCACAGTTGACACGCCGTGCTCCTCTGTGAGTCAGGGATGCTTTTCTGGAAATGGTGAGCACTGTTCTGGAACACTCTGTCTATCCGCAGGCCTAAACTGACCCTCCGTCTTCTTCCAAAAATGATCTGTGGCAGCTGCAGAAGAAATAACTGAAAAAGAGTTTTTTTTTTTTTTAACTTGAGGAAAATTGGAAGAGAGAAAGCACATAGAAGATGGCAGCTAAGGACAGGAAAACAAAGAGAACACAACCAAAGACAAAAATACTGCGGCGAAGTTTTATTTGATTCTCCATTTTGATGGAGAAACTGGAGTCAACCTAAGGGCACAAGGACTCTTTTGCTAAAGAGACCTTGTTCTGAACAGCAGAAAGGCCCTGCCTTCTTCTTGCATGGTTTATAGACACGGAATGCGGTTGTGATGAGGACAGCATGGGCAGAGCAAGGGCAGTGTTTCCTGCAGATAAACTAACAGCAGATGCAATTCCATTACTAAAACCGAGCAGGCAGATGTGAAATCAAGACATGTGAGATAAGTAACAATGAAGGGTCTTAGGTAAATATAATTAGATCCGTGGTGCATGCAGACTCAATAGGAAAAGCTCATCTGTGACCAAACATCACTCATTCTACACGACTGCCCATTACTCTCCCTGTCCCTGTCCCCCACCGGAGTCTGCTCCAACGGAGATGGCCACGTGCTCCTTGGCTCTGTAACTGATTTCACAAAACACCTCCTCGCAAATATTTGATGGCTCAGGAAGAGTTCTAATTACATTAAATAATAAAGTCATCATGAAAACAATGTGAATGGTAACAACTTAAAAAAAAAATCCCTTTATGAATTGAATCCAGAGAATCAAAGCCGTTTTCCAGTGGACTCGGGCTGAGAGCATGTGAATGAAGGTGAGTCCCATGGCCCTGCTTTGGTCCCATTCAGACCGTTCCAGCAGCAGCACCCTTCTCCCCTGGTGCGAAGCCATACCCAACCGTTCCCAGCTTAGTATATACATTTGCTGGGGGCTATTAATAAAATAGTGCTGAACACCTTGTAAGTCTCTTTGTTTACATGTGACATTATTTCCCCTTGGATAGAAACCTTACAATGTGTAATTGCTGGGTCAAAGGGTATGTCATTTGAAATTTAAAATATGCCAAAATGCCCTCCAAAAAAATGATATCCTCGTTAACAGCACACGGGATGGTTTTTTTAAATCTTGCCAACATTGGAAATAATCAGTCTGAAATTTTTGTCCATCAGATGGGTGACAAATGGTATTTCACTGGGGGTGCAGTGTACCTTTTTATGAACAGGAGTGAAAAGGAGTGAGATTGAGCATATTTCCAAATGGCGTGTTGTTCTGGGGAACGGCAATTCATCTTGTCCTTTTTCTCAATGAATTGTAGTTATTTTTTTTTAACGTATTTTGAGTATTGAAACTTGGTGCAAATATTTTTCTATGGTCTGGTGCATTTTTGGTCTTTTATGTTACAAATGTTTTTAATATAAATTTACTTCCCACAGTCGTATTTATCAATCATTTACATTATGGGATCAATTTACTTTTTTAAAAATCACAAGAAAGCCTTCTTTTTCCCACAGTTATAAAGCCTTCCTCTGTATTTTCTTCTGCTATTTTTATAATTACTTGTACCTTAAGCCCCTTCCTAATCTGAGTATCTTGTCAGGAAAAATACCTAATTATTTTCCCCCAAGAGATAATTAATTCCTCTGACATAATTTATTGTAATTGATTTATTCCCTTTCTCCACTGAATAGAATATTCATTGTTAGCACATAATGAATTGACAAAAATCCATCAGTCTTTTTTTTTTTAATATTCGCTCTTGTACTGCTCTGTTGTCTATTCCTACATCAAAACATTTTTGTTTATTTCCGGTTTTTCTATAGTATGTTTTGGTAGCCCGTAAGCAAGTATCATTTCATTTCTACTCTTTTATATATTTTTTTTATTGAAGTATAGTTGATTTACAATGTTGCGTTAGTTGCTGGTGTACAGCAGAGTGAGTCAGTTATACATACATACATATATTCATTTTCATACTCTTTTTCATTAAAGGTTATTACAAGATATTGAATAAAGTTCCCTGTGCAGGACAGTAACATTTCTATTAGTTAAAGATTTTATTTTGTCTATTTTTATACATTTCATC